GGGTAGTAACCTTTCTTCCTCCAACGCAGGATGTCAATATTCCTTACTGACTCACCACCCAACTCTACCATACGCTCGTGCATGATGGCTTTCAACACGTCGTTTTTAGTAGTAACCGGGTATTGAGCTGTAGGATAAGCCGGCATTAAAACACCGGGCCTTGCCCTGATCTGGTTCAGATAACCAACTGCAGCAGGTAAAGTTCCAGCTTCAGCTTCGCACTCTGCCAGCATCAGTAAAACATCTGCATAACGGATCAGGCGCTGATTGATACCTCCAGGGTGAAAACCAGCTGCTGCTGAACTTTCCTTATAGATCAGCATGTATTTGCGCCAGCTAACTTTTGTTGGTACTCCATTGACTGATGAAATAGCTCCATTTTGTTGAGCGGCTGTAAGTGTTTCAGCACCATTATTGAAAAGATCGCCTGTTTCATAAGCGCTCAGTTTGTAACGGGGATCGTCTTTAGTGGCACCTGTAGCTACGCGCTCATACTCGTTAATGAGTTTGTCTGAAGGTATCAGGTTCCTCCAGGCAACAGGGCAATACTCCTGGTTACGAACCGTGCTGACAGGTGCAGCGGGATCGTCACCGGTAATATATCCACCCCAGTTGAAGTTATTATCACCTCTGTCGAAGAATACTACTTCAAAAATGCTTTCTGCATTAAACTCTGTTTCTTCGAGCCAGTTATCAGAATAATTTGCACTTAATGAATAAAGGTTAGAGTTAACCACAGCCAGCAATGCGGTTTTAGCTGCAGCATAATCACCTTTCTGCATCTGAACGCGGCCCAACAAAGCATTTGCAGCGCCTTTTGTAGCACGCCCTCTGTCAGTTGCACCATAAGTAGCGGGTAGTTTAGCAACGGCATCTGTAAGATCACTAATGATCAGCGCATAGATATCTGCTTCCGTTGATTTGCCTTTGAAACCTGTAGCTGTAGTGACAGGCTCTGTGTACATGGGAACAGAACCCCACATGGAAACAAGTTCAAAATAGGCCCACGCTCTCAGGAACTTTGCTTCTCCCACAACTCTGTCTCTTAATACTGCATCATCGTTTACACCCGGTGCAGCTGCTATAACTGCGTTAACACGGTTGATCATGATATAGGCGATTTGCCAGACATTGGTCATAACTGAATTAGAAGTCGAAGGCGTTGGCTGCTCAAGCAGTTCACGTCTGGGTGCTTCCAATTGGCTACCACCTGCTCCGTGTTCATCAGCTCTTGTGTCATGTAAGAAAAACCATTCGCGACCAACGCCCCCGGGGGAACGCATGGTTGCATAAGCGGCATTAACGCCTGCTTGCAACTCAATCGCTTTTTTGAAATAGCTTTCTGTCGTTGGCCTGTTCTTATCAGTCAGGTCAAGCTTGTCTTTACAAAAGGTTAGCCCAAACGAACAAAATAGGGCAACCAGTAAGATTCTATTGAAATTGCTTTTCATAATTTAAAAAATTAGATCACAATCAGTGTAGTTAGATAATTAATTAAAACCCGACCTGCACTCCTACCTGGAATGAACGAGGTTGTGGGTAAACAAAATAGTCGATACCGCTGGTAAGGCTTGAACCCGGTGTTCTGTTACCTACTTCAGGATCATATCCTGTGTACTTGGTTACAGTGAAAAGATTCTGAGCTGAAACATACAACCTGAAGTTGCTTACCACGCCTTTTGTTAAACTTTGCAAGGTAGAAGCAGGTACATTGTATCCGATCGCCAGGTTCTTTAAGCGAAGGAATGAACCGTCTTCG